CATGTTGAGTTTAAGACATCTATAGGACACCAAGTTTGAGATATCCAATGGGAATTTGGAGCTGCAAGACTAGATAGAGGTCAGAAGAGAGGGTAGGGCTAGGTAAATAGATCTGGGAATCAGCGTGGAAGTGATAACTGAATACATGGGAGCTGATGAGATCACCAGACAGTATAGAGGGAGAAGAAAAGAGGGCCCAACACAGAGCCATCTGGGACACCCACAGTTAGTGAATTAAGTGAATGGATGAAGTGATCATAAACTGAATGAAGATCCAGCAAAGGAGAATGGGGAATGCTCAGAGAGGTGAGAGGAGAATCAGGTGAGAAGAATGTCATGAAAACCTAGAGGGAGGAGAATATCCAAGAGAAGAGAGTAATTGACAATGCCAAAGGCTGCAAAGAGGTCAAGAAGGATAAGGTTTGAGAAAAGGCAATTGATAAGATTAGACTGGGCAGTTAAGAGATCATTGGTAACTCTGGAGAGTCTGATGAAGCCTGTGGATCTCTTCTCAGAATAATGTTTTGAAATAATTGAAAGAAATACTAAATTTCAATGAGAGGTTAGTGAAAATAAAGATGTATTTTTTTCCTGATCCAAGTTCATGGACTTTCTTGGGGGAAGTCTGAGGACTCCAAGTTAAGAACAGTCCCTTCCATCTCTAATATTTTGTATCCTAAGGTCCCTTCCAGCTTTGACATTCCATGGTCTATATTCTAAGGCCATTCATTCCCAGTGCTAGCTTTCTGTGCTCTCTATTCTAACATTCTATATTCTAAGATCCCTTTCTAGCTTTGACATTCTGTGTTCTGATTTCTCTGATAGTCTGTGATGCATGTGAATATTTTGACTGCCAGAGTGACTAAATGCTGTATCAGGAGACTGAAGAAGACTATGGAGTCTCTATCCCTGGCATATATTTTAAAATAGGATTCCCAGCTCTCCACTTTGGCTCATTTAGGTCAGCGATTCCCATCATGTTTAGATTACAACCACCTTATGGGTTGCTCTTTCATCTGTTTTTGTGACACTTTCCTTTCCACAGCGAAAAAGTGTCATGGAACCTATTTTATTCTTAAGACAATTTCATTTTCAAAAATGAAAGTGAATTTGGACTAATTTTGTCTGGGAGTTGAGGGGATGTGCTTCTTTGGCGGGGGGTGGGGATGAGGAAGAATTTCGAGATAATCTCTTAAAGAAATTTGATAGGGCCAGGGAATGGTTTGGGTGTTTGGTTTTTTATTTTTTTATTTTCAGGGTTGGGGTGAGAAGGTGTACAACATCAGAATTACCAATGAGAGTCATGGTGTTAGGCACTCACCAGCTTAGAAGTAAGGGGCCTAACTCACCTCAGGAAGCCCCTACTAGCTGTTTGATTCTCTGTGAAAGTTCAGGGTCAGAAGATTAGAGTTTTTTGATTCTGGAAGGGAATCCTTTGGTGACTCATGACCTCTTGCTTCTCAAGTTAACCAACACTTGAATTTTCCCTTTAAGCAGTATGTGAGAGGTTAAGCCTATAGCTCTCTCTCTCTCTCGCTCTCTCTCTCTCTGTCTATATATATATATTACCTCTGAGAGGAGTTGAACAGCACAGTGCAGTAGAAAATATCATTGACTAGAATCAGGAGACCTCAATTATAGGGTTGGATCTACCACTGACTTTCTGTGTGACTTTGGACAAGGTGCTTACTCTGTAAAATGAAGGGACTGGACTTGATGGTCACTAAAGTCCCTTTTAGCTTTAAAATACTATAACTATGACTGTTATCTTCCCATGAAACAGTCCAATCCTACCCCTACTACTTCCTGTCAGACCTGATCCCAGATATGAGTGTGTATTTGTGTATACATACATGTACACAAGCACACACCTCTTCCACAGCTGTTGCTGAGCCCATTTCAATCTCACCCCCTCCTTTCTGGGCTTTCTCCCGGAATAATGGCGTAGCTTTTCTAGAGGACCCGTCAATCTTACTACCCTCATTCTACCCCACCCCACCCCCAACTTTATTTAAAAGCTTAAACATCTGTAGGGGTCACCCCCAAGGAGGTGAAGGTGAAGGATTTTCCCTTGATGCAGTCATGAGTCTCAAGCCCTTCCTCTCCCCTCCCTTCCCCCACCCACCTGTCACAATCTCATTAGAGATGCCGTGGAATCAGTGTATTTTAGAAGGGGTGTTATCGACCTTGAATCATAGAATGTCAAAACTGGAAGGGATCTTAGAGCACCAAATGTTGGAGCTGTAAGGAACTTTAAAATACAGATTGTCAGAGTTGGGAAGAACCTTAGAAAAGTCACAAGATGTCAAAGCTGGAAGGACTTTAAACATGAGATCGTAGGCCTAGAGCTAGAAGGGAACCTTATACATCGTGGAATCCAATCTCCTCATTTTGCAGATGAGGAAACTGAGGCCCAGAGAGATTAAGTGATATAGAGTGTCTGAGATGAAAGGGATCCTGGGACATATAGGAGCCCAAAGGGACCTTAAAATAGAGATTGTTGGAGCTGGAAGGGACCTTGGAGATTTTTTAGTTCAATCATTTCTATTGACGACAGAGGACTAGCCTTATCCAAGGTCACAGAGCTTGTTAATGATGTGATGGGGATAAAAGCCTGACTCCAGGGCCGGTGGCCACAGTCATAAGCAATGCTATTATGCAGGAATCACCAGATCTCTTAAATATGTTTGACAAGTCAGAGGATTCAAATTCCTGAAGGCCACCACCTGTCATGGAACAGCTGCCACAAAACCTCTGTTCTGTCCAGGCCACCTCCTTCCCAGGGTCCTCCAAGGAGCCTCAGAGCAGGAGAGATTGGAGGTTTGGAACGAAGGACCAGGACCAGAATACAAATGCTCTTGTTCTCATCTACAGGCCCCAACCTGCAGCAGGTAGTCTGAGATGAACCATCAGCATGCAGCAGCCTGCTGCTGGCCTCCTTGCTACTCCCCAAACAGGAAACCTAAAATTTAGATTTGTATGGAAGGCACAGATTCCTTGTAGAGCCAGATGGAAGGGGTGGGAAGAGGAGGAAGCCTTGCCATAGATCTCTTCTGCCTGGGGCACTTTAAATGGTAACATCTCATAGCATATGTAGAATGTATTTATAATGCTTCCAAGCGATCCAGTTTTAAAGATGGATAACAGAGGGAAGAGAGGGGATTTTCCATGCTAGGGGAAGTAACTGATCTGGGGCTTATAAGCAACTTGAGACCAAAGTATCTCTGATCAATTGATTTGTCTCAGTGTTTGACTGATTGACCTGGTCCTGGAATCTCAGGCCAGCAGCCAGCGGGGATTTCATTGTTGTTCTATTTATAAGAACATCGACAAATTTGGCAGTGACACAAGAAGGGTGACCAGCATAAGGAGGGGTCTGGAAACCCTGTCAAATGGGGAAATGTTGAAGGAGAAGGGGAAGCAGGATTGCTATTTTCAGATATCTGACGGGCGGTTGAGAGGAAGAATGATTCAACTTGTTTATTCTGTGTAGCTTCAGAAGGCAACACTAGGACCAGCGGGTGGAAATTATGGGGAGGCAAATTTCAGGTTAACCTGAGGAAGAACTTTTTAACAGCTAAAAACTGTCTGATCATGGAATTGGCTACTTTGTAAGATAGTGAGCGCCCTGTCACTGGAAGTGTTTAAGTAAACCCTGGAATGACCACTTCTCAAGGATAGTATAGAGAGGTGCAGGTGCATGTAGGAGCCAGCTGTAACTGGTTTATGAGACAAAAATTGTTAAATTTTCATTGTGAGTATCAACACCTCAGAAATAATCTATACAAATGATGGATTGATTTATTGTTTTATTGGTTGTCTGGGCTTAAGAAAGTATTAATAATGCAGATTAAATTTTTAAGTGTTTGCATCCTTTCCCCCCACCCCAAAAGCCCAATTATTAAACATTTACCAGCATACTCCTATATTGCTCTACAGCAGGAATGCAGTAGAAGGGTCAGAGACTGAAGTCGTTCCCAGGTTGGAGGCCTGGTGACTATAGGCTAATAATAATAATAACTGTCATTGATATAGTGCTTTAAGGTTTATACACCCGTTCTCTCATTTGAGTCTCACAACACCCCTGGGTAGGAAGCTGCAAAATAAAGTTTCTACAATTATAGGGACAAATTGATTAAATGAGTTCCCTTTCCCGATCTTTCTACTGTGATTCCCTCCCTTTATGAATCCAGGGAGTCCGAGGTAGGACAGGCAAACAAGTCTAGCCTGGGGTCAGTGGATCATGGGGAATGCCACAGATCCAGTAGGCCACAAAAAGAAGTGAGGTTTTCTGGGACCGTTCAGGGCCCAAGTCTTTTGATGGAACCAACTGATGAGGTCACTACATACCACTGCGTTGGGGTGAGTTCCAGCATAGGACACTAACTGTGTGGGAGTTAGTGAAACAGAGAACTGAAAATAATGTGAGTTCTACCGCATTGTGCAAGTCATCTTCCCGTAAGCACGTTCCCTATGCCTGACCGTGGTGGGTTTGAAGATGATCGGCCTAAAAAAGGCAGAAGATTTCAGTGACCTTCCTGAATCCCCTGAGTTTTCCAGCCCCTACTCCAAAAGCAATTTATGTTTCTCCACGTAGTCACTGGGTTTTAACAAGCTGGCAACAAAAGTGCTGAGTCATGAAAAGTGATTCTTCCACTAGGGAAAAAAAAAAACACCCCAAATGGCTCATTTGCATATTGTATATATTGTCACATGAAATACAGAACTATACAAGTTTGACTTGGAAAAGACCTATTAGGTCACAGGGAGTCCGGCCCCTGGGGGCCAAAGCAGCACTGGATGCTACTGGACGCTAGCCAGTGCTTTGTCTAGTCTAACTTTCTGAGTACAGCAGGGTGGGCTAGCACTGGCCTTCCCAAATGCCAGGTTGCAGGTGTGCCCCGGGAAAAGTCAGCTGGAGACAAGACTTGCAGAAAAGAGCTTTTCTAGCTGGCTCACCAAATGCCTGAGCTCCAATGCTGGCTTGAGTATCCATCTATGGTGAGTGCTGATAGGCCCACATATCAAAAGGGGATGATGGGGCATTTCTTGGAGGATTGGGACCTGGGATTGACAGGCAGCTGCCAAAAAACTTGACCACAGTAACAACAAAAGGTGAATACCAGAAACCACCTACTTTTTCCAGCTTGACTTTTGCTCTGACATCTCTATAAGCAGGAGCTTAGCAATATTGATTTTGACATGTTGAAACTCCACTGGGTTTGAGATGATGAGGGAAAGCCAAAGTAACTCTAGGTATTTTGGGGAAAGGTGGGGAAATCGGTATTTTTCAAGAACCTCTGCCCCCGTGTTATGGCTGGGATAACCTGTGGATACTGGCCACCAAACATGAGAGGGAAATAAAACAGGGGTCTAATAACATATTCAAGGGAGAAGGGCTCCAACTTCCTTTCACTGAAGGGTTGTTTTCTATTCTTCATCTCCCCTCTCTTGAAAAGGTCAAGGTGCAACAGTGCTGTTCACCAGATGGATATCAACATCTGGCAGGTGTTGGAGGACATCCAGACCAGCTCCACCAGTTTGAACTGGAAGTAGCCAATAACGAAGCCAGAGACCACATCAGTGATGTGATGCCGCCCAATCATAACCCTTGACAAGCCCACACAGAAGGCCCAGAGCACCAAAAGGATCCGCAAGGGGACGGCCAGCACAAGGTGGTTGAGGAAGAACTTGGATATCATGGCAGCTCGACTGGCATGGCCAGCTGGGAAGGCATAGATGTCCATGGTGAGGTAGTCTAGAAGGCCTGGGCTCATGTCATAAGGGCCTCGTCGTTTGATGAGCTTCTGCACTCCAGCCACAGTCATGATATCCAAGAGCAGAGCTGTGAGGGAAAAGAAATGACATCATCAGGGATGTGTATAGCTGCTGTTGCTTAGCTCAACTGGGTAGGGCACCATGCTAATGAGTTGGATTCCCACATTGGACCAGTTAGCTCTACACTGTTCTCTGGCCACAGACTCTACCCCCTGACTCTAGACATCCATGGAGGAGACAGAGGCCCTAGTTCCTATTCTACCTTTAATAAACTATATAACTATGGGCAAGTCACTCTGCTCCCCGAGCTTTATAGTGGGGGGTGGGTCGAAGGAAGGGAGGGAAGGAACAGGCATTTAATAAGTGCCCACTATGTGCCAGGCACTGTGCTAAGCACTTCACAAATATTATCTCATCTGATCCTCACAGCAACCCTGTAAGGTAGGTCCTATTATTATCCCCATTTTACAGAGGAGGAAACTGAGGCAAGTAGAGATTTAAATTACTTGCCCGGTGTCACACGGCTAATAGTGTCTGAGGCCAGATTTGAATTTAAGTCTTTTCTTTGGCTGTACTCCATGCTTGGAATGCTCTCCCTCCTCATCTTTGCCTATTGGCTTTCCCAGCTTCCTTTAAGTCCAAACTAAAATCGCATCTTCTACAGGAAGTTTTTCCCAAATCCTCTTAATTCTAGTTCCTTTCCTTTTAAAATCATTTCCTGTTTTTCCTGTGTGTAGCTTCTCTGTACATATTTGTTTGCTTGATTGTGAGTTCTTTGAAGGCAGAGACTATCTTCTGCCTCCCCCCTCCCCATATCCTCAGTGCTTAGTATAGTGCCTGGTATATAGAAGGCACTCATTAAATGTTTATTGACTGACTCCAGACCTTGCCTTTACTATAATCATAGGATAATAACATCATAGACGTAGAGTTGGAAAGAATCTCAGGGGCCATTTAAATTCACTCCTCTCATTTTACAGATGTGGACTTTAGGGTCATGTGATCATAAAGATGGCAGATTAGTCACTTTTCCAAACCATTTCAACCCTCATATTACACACAAGGAAACTGTGGCTCAAGAAGATTGAGTGATTTGCCCAAAGTCACACAGTTGGTACATGTATAAGGTGGGATTTGAACCCAGGTTCTCTGGTACCAAATTCAGCTCTTTCAACAGTAAACTACCTCAGTTCCTCTTCTTTTGTAACATGGAGGGAGGGTGGATTAGATGAGGTTAATTCCATTTCTAAATCCCATGATCCTATGGTCTCTAGCTCTAATATGTTTTGAAGATCCCTTCCAGCTCTAAAATTCCATGTCTTAAGGTCCTTTCTAGTTCCAATATTCCATGAATCTAAGCCATTCATTATAAGAGGGAACCAAGAGAGTAAATATGGCTCAGGGTAAATCCGTAGCTGCTGTTGGAAAAGCAATTCCAAAAACATGCCCTCATGTTGTTAGGCAGCATGGTGTAGTTTTTAGTGTTTAATCTGGAGTCAGGAATACCTGGATTTGATTCTATCTCTGACATTTCTTAACTGTGTGATTATGAACCAATCACATCAACTCCCTGAGCCTCAGTTTCCTCATCTGTAACATGAAGATAATAGCTGGAGGACTTACCTCAGAGGGTTATGAAGATCGAAAGAGATTATGGACCTAAAACATACTGTTGAAAAGTCACTTCGTATTCTCAGTAGAGTGTAAGCTTCTGGAGGGCAGAGAGTAATTATTTGAGCTAGGAGCATCATTCACAGACTGGAAAAATGGTTCCTTGTTTGTGCACTTGGACTATTCCGCAGAACAATCACCCCCAGGCAGCACAGAGTCAGGAAGGAAAGAGAAGTGGGATGGGCTGAGAGGGAGGAAGGGCACCAGGTGTATCTCCTGAAGTTCTGTGTCTCAGGAACATCCCAGCTTTAGCTTGGCCCCTCAGCCTGAAGCAGCAGGCTGGGTCACGACGCAAGCCAACCTATCTGTAGGCAACAGCAGAGGCCAAAAGGCACTCTGGCTTTTCAAACTTGCCTGGAAAATTTTCCATCAACATTCTTTACTTGTTCATTCCTAGCGTTCCTGCCTAGAAATAATTTCGAATGTAGCCTTCCCCTAGTTTTCCTTCATTTTCCCTGGCAGACCAAGGCGGTGGATTCGGTACTTGACTGTTGGCTTGTGGTTTGAAGCCCCTCATCTTTCTTGCTCTCCTCTTGCTAATTAGTCAGTTCCTTTTCAGCACCTCCCCCAGGGCAAGCAGGGTGTTTTCACCCAGGGAATGAGGCCATCTAGAAGACTAACTGCCCAACTGGGGAGTGTCTGTCAAGAGGTCTGAGTTTTCGATGGGGGTTGGAAGACAGTCAAGAGTGCTTGCCAGGATTGAGGGAAGAAGAGGTGGGAGAATCTTCCCTGTACAGAAGGCCTTCAATTCCCTTAGCAACTCATAGCCAGGGGCTGTGATCAGATCCACACAGCACAAAACCCCACACAGGAGGCCTGTGGCTGGCCTGGATCCTTGCATGTTGGGGCAGGAATCACTAGGTTCTAAGTGAGGCAAGATTCTACAGGAGTAGCATGCTTGGGGATTGGAGTTAGAGCATGTAGGGAAATTTAGGAGCGGAGAAAGGCTTCCAGCAAAAGGGGTGGGGGGTGGGAGAAGGGATAGAATGAATTGAAACATCAGATCTTGTGGGTAGTCTGGGGACAGTGTCTGGAAGGCTGTTCCAGCTCCATGCAGGGACCTGGGGGAGGAGGTGCTGGTGGGAATCTGAACAGTAGCATATCTTCCAAATAACTAGTTTAGAGTCTCCCAAACTACTGCCAACCACTTTTCCTCACCGCAACTGTGGCCTCCTCCCCCTCTGCTTCTGCAGGAAGTTTTCCACGGGGCAATGCTACCCTTGTGTAAGTCAGCATGCGGTATGACTGATTCTTGGCCTGTCAGCAAGAGATGCAAATGCTGCTGTCACTCAAGGCTCACTGGATCCAGCTCTGATGCCTCTACCCTACCCTCACCCACACATTTATTTAGATTTAGATAAGGAGAAAAGGTTTCCCTCCAGTGTCTGTCTGAGAGTTATTACCGTTGTGTAGAAGGCACTAACTGGACTGAGGGAGAGCCATGGTGGTGAGTGGATTGGGAAAGGGGAATGGAAAGGGAATCATCATTTATTAAGAGCCTTTTATGTGCCAGGCACTGTGCCAAACACTTTTCAGATATTATCTCATTTAGTCCTCACAACTCTGGGAGGTGGGTGCTTTTATTATCCTCATTTCACAGTTGAGGAAACTGAGGCAAACTGAGGTTAAACAACTTGCTCAGAGTCACACAGCTGGCGAGTTTCTGAGGTCACATTTGAACTCAGGGCTTCCTGACCCCAAGCCCAGCACTCTACCCACTGTGCCACCTAGCTGCCTCAGTTTCCTTCTCTATAAAATGAGTTGCTTTAAATCCTCTCCGAAGTCTTTTCTATGTTTATCAGTCTATGTTTCAGGCTCTGCCACTAATCTATTTTACTTTTGGCAAGGCTTTTTACTTATTTGGTCCTCAGTTCTTTCAGCTGTAAAGTGAGTGGGCTAGACTAGAGAAAATCTAAAGTTATTTCCAGCTCTATATCCTATGGTTCTGTGATCCATAAAATGTAGGAAACTAGACTCACCAATAGCCTCAGGATTTCAGAGTTAGAAGGGATCCCTGAGAATTTAAATTTCTTGAAGGTAAAAACTATCTCACTATTATATCTCCAGAACCCAGAACCAGGGTCTGGACTATAGGAAGCACTTAATTGCTTACGATTTAGTCCAATCTGTATTTGCAAGGAACCCCTTCTACAACATTTCAAACAATTCATTATTCAATCTCTGTTGGCATACCCACAGTGATAGAGAGCTAACTACCTTTAGCCCTAAGATTTTTATTTTTTTCTTAGTTTTTATAGGTATTATTTCTACATCACCTTCATAACTGAACATATTTTATTCTTCTCCCCAGAGAGCCCTCCCTTATAAAAGAGACTAAGAAAGAATGAGACAGAGAAAAATCCAGTAAAAATCAACCAAGACATCAGCTCTCTGACAGCATATGAAATGTTTGGGACATGTTCTCAACTTCTCTTGGATCAAGCTTGGCCCTTATAATTATGCAGTGGTCAATTTAGTCTCATTGTTTTATTCATAGTTTAGTTTATTGTGGCAGTCATTGTGTACTCTGTTTTCCTGGTTCTCTTTACTGTATATCACGTTTTTGCTTTGTTTTGTTTTACTTTGTGTCAGTTCTCCAAAGTCTTCTCATGCTTCTCTGAATTCTTCATACTTGTCATTTTTTATGATGCAATGATATTCTTTAACATTAATGTACTATAATTTATTAGGTCAGTCACCAAACTATGGTTATATACTTTGTTTTGAATTCTTTGCTATCATATAAAGAACAAAATATTTTGGGGTTTATGGGACCTTCCTTTTATTTATTGACCTCCTTGAGGCATATCGCTAGCAGTGGCATCTCTGAGTCAAAGGGTGTGTATATGTTAGTCACTTTTTCACCATAATTCTAAATTGCTTTCCAGAATGATGGCACCAATTCACAGCTCTACTGACAATGTAGCTCCAAATCAGTAACTCCAAAATTTTAGCATTAGAATTGAAAAGCCCTGCGGCCATGTTACTAGGGCCTGGTTACCTGAAAGTCACATGAAACACAATCAAGGAGTGTCAGAATCCCAGAGAAATTTCTGTTGGCTGCATGGACCTTCCATGAACCATCAGTCTTAGCTGCAATGCTATATGGTCCACCAACAAACTAGTGCACTTAGTTGCAGGGGATAAAATGGAAGCCTAGAAGAAGCATTTAGTCTCTGCAAGAAACAAATAACATACCCCCTCACCCCACCCCCACACACACATTAAAAAAAACAAAACAAAGCCACACATACTAATAACAAAAAATTCCTTTTAAACAACTCATATGCTAACAGAAGGGAAATAGCAGAATAAAATGTGACGTATGAATATAATGTTCTTTGGCCTTTCTGCAACTTTTTACTGTGTTAATCATCAACTCTGCTTATATCTGAT